GATGAGTTGGATGGTGAGGAGGAAAGGCGAGGGGGCACCACGTCTGCTATTCCCAGTTGGGTCACAGTTCATGAAACACCGAAGTCCCAAGAAATTTCCGGGGCTTCACAATTCCAGAGGGAATCATTGACCAACCTCAGTGTTAGCTTTATTTTAATGTGTAGTTTATTTCTAGTTTTGTTTTATACACCACCTACTTCTTAGGCATAAAACCAAGTGCATTAAATTCCCAAGATGCCGAATTTCCCTTAAATCACATAAGCCTGTCCCCCTCATCCAATATTATCTCTGGATCAATACCAATCTTTGACTTTCTCCATTACTTTCCACTTCAGAAACTGTATCCAATTCATCACAGTAGATAAAAACAACAATTTAGGGTAGGTTAGAAGTAGTTCTTCCTTATCAGAGTTCTGTTTAAAAGGTTTACTGTCGGCTGTTCAGGGGCGGATTCCAGGGAGGTAAGATGAGCTGTCACTTCCACCACCTCATAGATGGCCTGTGAACTGTAAAGTTAAACAGAGCAAAGTCCTTGTCAAAGTCTGTCTTCTCTCTTTGCCCATTCTCATGTGCTGTTCTCGGAGGTAATTTAAGATCCTCCACGTATGTAAGCCTCATTATACAGGATAAACATTGCAGCGCCTACTCACTGCCTTCAGAGAGCACTGCAGGCATTCAAGCTCTCACTTACTCATCAGGTCTGCAGTAGCCAAGCTGTCAGTCAATACACACAGCCAAGGTTAATCCATTGAGCAGCTCCCAACTGAAAGCAAAGGACCTCCAGGAAATAGATTCTTTTTTGAAACATATGCTAGGACATTTTCACCCAAAGTTTCAGTAATAAAGAGCAGAGAGCCCCTTTTTCATGCTCCATCAGTTGTGCCCTGATTTTCAATTATCAGTCCTTTATCAGTGAGTTCTGAGTTTGCTTGGAGACACGCTGTCCAATAGAACATCTACACTCGAGTTCTGACATCACACAGGAAATGTTCCCTGTCTTTGCTATTCAGTAAAGTAGATGCCAGACCTGTGGTGTTGTGCATCTGAAATGTGACTGATGTGGTTGAGGAAATGAATTTTAGATTAGATTTATCTTTACTTAATTTAAATTTAAGTAGCCATATTGTTTGGACAGTATGATTCTAGAGTTTGGATGTCATTTAATTTCATAGTTGTTTTAAACAGATAGATGAGAACACTGACATAATATTATGATGGGATTCTTGTTCAAGTACTAATGTCTTTTATTTACAAGTCTAAGTGTTCCCAATTTAAAATGATGGACTAAATGTTAGGTTTGCCTTCCCCTGTATGGTTCCCCCTTCCACTCCAAAACCCACTACAAACATAACGCAGAATTAGCAATGGAAATAGATTTATAGTGGCAGAGATAGTAGAGGGGAGGGCAATAATCAACAGATGGTGAATTTCAAACCTCCATGAATTCTGAAAACATACGAAAATATATCGATGGATGAAAGAGGGCTGAGGAAGTTTTGGTCCAGGATGGGTAGTGGAATTTAAAGATCATTTGTCCAGAAAACTCCTGAGAAGAGAAGGCCCAGACTTGGGATCCTTCAGTTTTCAAGGAGGCAGTGAGATCGATACAAAACAAGGAGTTAATTCAAACTGTTTCTAAGGAACAATTTTCCTGCATAGACCCCCTCATTAATTTTCCTACATCGGAACAAAGGGATTGGCAATTCAGGGTTCATCCTTGGACAAAACCTAGAGGGCTTTTATGTGACCCCTCCAACTGGGTAACTTCCTGGGAAGAACCAAGGTTGCTAGCGTGAGGTGGGCAGCCCAGAATAGATCCTGCGTTGAACTAGCTTTGGGGAGCTCCCTGATATCACCTACTCTCTGCTTGTCTACTCAGTCTGCAAGCCCATACATATCAACAGACCCCCAGACTGACTTCCATTCAAGGAAAAGCCCAGCAAAGAAATATACTGAGATTCACAATAGGAAAATAAGGAAGTTAACAATTACCAGCCAGTTGAAGACTGCCAGCATTAAAAAGAACAAAGATACATAAACATGACAACAAATTCAGGAGAAAGCCAGGAAAATGTAAGGGTGAGTCAAAAAAATTTTAATATTATTACTGCTAGGATTTTATAAAACCTCTAATTATTATCCTCAGAGAAATCAAGAAAATGTCAGATCTAAAGAATAAGTGCAGGATGCGCAATCAAGGACACAAAGATCTCCTGAAAGTTAAAAATGATTGCTAAAATAAAAATGGTAATAAACAGAAAGGTTAGCAGCAATAATTGGGTAAAAGCTCTAGAAAATTCAACAAACAGCTCAACACATAATATTAGAGAAAGATTGAAGCATAAAAGGCCAATGTCTGATAAATAAGTATTCCAGAAAGAAAGAACAGAAATAAACTATGAAAAGGATATTAAGGAAGTAACAAAAAATATTTCATGGAGCTAAAGTATCTAAATAATTATTATACACCAATGTTGGGAGAAATGAAGGAAAAAAATGTATTATAAGAATGGCATGGGTCAAATAGGTCATATAGAAAATGTGGCGCGGATTTAATTCCTGATGACTCATCGGCAGAAAAAGCCACTGACCCCTAGGCTGGGAGCAGGCATTTCTGTATGGCTTATGTGTCATGACATTTGACCCGGGGGGGGAAGAAAATGTGACCTCTGTCTCAGACGGGTCCTCCGGGAATAATATTTACTAGGAAGTGTAAATACTCCTTACTGCTTTTGGACTTTGGTGCTTAACCTATATTCAGACCTCCACATTAACCATAATTTCAAGCCAGAATATAAATATTATTAATCTCGATAATGTAAAAGTTTGTGGCTAGCTGAAGATGGTGGTAAGAAGTTGGGAAGAGGAAGATAAAGGGTCTGTCATAATATCCTATTTTACAGGCTAAGTATTCAAGGGAGAGTGTTCACTGTGGGCAGAATGGCAAACAGCAGTATAAGCACATTAGCTGATCTTATAAATGGAGTTACTGGAGATATAAAACAACTTTCAAAAACTAGAGAGAAAGAAACAATCAGTTTTAGCTGCGTTTCCCCTGTTGCCCCTTCTGTGCTGTAACACTTAGTGAGGCCTGAGTTGAGCTTGTTTAGCCCAAGAAAAAGCCAGGCTGACTCACCTCCTCCCACCCTTCACCTGCCCTACCTAAGACAGGGCTGCGTGCTCTGTCACCCTGCGGCCGCGGAGACATGAGTGAGTGCCCTGCACACTGAGTGCCGTCTCTCTGCTTATCATCCGACAGCCCGGCGGTCCCATC